GTACCCATGTCTAGTCAGTAGAACAAAAAGAGACAACAACCAATTAGTTACAGAATAGACAATCTATTTTATAATTATAAAACAATTTTAATCAATATTTTAGGTTATGAGTAAGTCAACTAACCATAAAATACTTAAATCTAGAAGGTAGATTTTATGTATTGATGTACAAGGGAAAACGAATCTCTTTCAATTTTATAAGCGTAAAAATATGGTTGATTTATTTAATATTAAGTTTACAGGAGTTTTTTTAGAAAACATACGAACATTTATTTTCTTTAGCATAGTACTTTGAAATATTTAAGAAAATAATACTACTTACATATTTTAATTTTTAAACCTATATACCTTAACAAATATATTTTCATAATTTACCAATAAATTAGAATAGGTAGGTAGGTAATATATTAAATATAAATTATTTTTTTTTGATGTTGCATTGAATTTTTGTTTTAATTTCATAACTATTATTAGTGTTTTTATCATAAAATATAAAATACTTGTTACTTTTTCAAAAATTCACTTGCCCAGTTATAAGCATTTCTTGCGTTAAAAAACTATTACACTTTAAATTTGCTTTTTTTATCTAAACAATATTTATAGGGTTCTCAATAATTCAACAGGAAATACTAAAACAATCTTTTTAAGTAATAATAAACTTTGGTAATGTTTAGCTTATCAAAATTTAAACCTTACGTTTAAAGCAAGACAATGTTTGCATTTCCCTACATGTTCTACTAATATTGGACAATATACAACAACCTATTTCACACCTGTAATATTTAGCACATTAATAAATTAGTGTTGGTTATTTGATAAATACTTAAATTTATAAATTATTCATAACAATAACAAATAGTATAGTAAACGACAAAATACCTAATATTCTTTTATAATTTTTGTATATTGGGAATACAGTTATTTAGTATCTATATTTAACACTTTCCAACATAAATAAGAAGTTGTCTCTAAATTTAAATTATTTATGTTTTTGTTATACGTTCACAGATAACAAATTAAATAATCTATGTAAAAATTATTTTAATATTTTTTTAAACAAGTATTAGAGTTTACACAAAATTTAAGTCTTAGAAATATTAAGTATGGAATAAATAAGAAAATATAATAATTAGGAAAAAAATATACCAATAGTGAATTTTAATTTTTATCATGATTAAAAGATAAATTACTAAGGACAGTATAGGTAAAAATGTAAACATAAAAAACAGGTATTTCTAAATAACCATAAAAAAGATAATATTAAAAAATTTTGTAAGAACGAGTAACAAAAAAAAAAAAAAAAAGAATTGTATAATATAAATGTAATATTTATGGATGTTTATGAATTAATAAAATATAAAACTAAAAAGATTACATATATAAACTTAATAATTATTTCACCCATTATTAAGTTTGAATTATTATTTAATAATACAATTTCTGATATATTATATAAATATATTAATTTTAATGTTATATTGAGTAAATGTTTATGATGAAGTATTTTACTTTATATAAAAGACAAAATTAAACTTCATCTTTTTCTTTTGCGCCGTGTTTCAAAATACGTGTAAATTCTATATAGTTGAACATCCCTTTGGAGATTGGAGCTTCACGATACATTTCATCAACCTAAAAAAAAGAAAAAAATTATTAATCTGTTATTCATAATACAAAATTAATTACACCCTTTTAATGATAAATATAGCCTAAATGCACTGATCTATCTCATATAAGTAAAATACATAACTTTTTCACACCTTTTCAATGTTGTTTAAAAATTTAATTCTATTAATTAAGTATATTTACAGTTTCTAGAGCTATTTTGCTGATTTAAAGTTTTGAGTAAATAAGGGCATATTTTTATACGATAAAAAAAAAAAAAAAAAAAAAAAAAAATACAATAAACTTTATTAAAGTAAACAAATATGCTAATAAAAACATGTTTTTTAATTTTAAAATAAAAGGTATAGGTTGTTATTTCAAAAGAAACTGGACAATTTATTTCATTTAATTTCAATAACTAGGTTGTTTTTAAAATGATGACACATTGTATTTACATTTAAGAGGTGGAGCAAATATCTAGTTCCTAAATCTCTACTACCATTGTTTTATTTTAAGTTATAACACATATAAATAATTAAAAAAAAATAATAATATTCTGACAATTTTATTTTGTATATTTACTAATTTTTATTAATTTTACACCTATTTTGTTCTTTTTTAGTGCTAAAACTTTAGAGTCAGGTTCATACGTAATTTTCAAGTCTGCATAACAAATTGACTACATTGTACCATTTCAAAATGAGATAAAACCTAAATTTCTATAGAAAATGATTTTAAAGTTATTGATCAACAGTTAACATTTATTGAGTATAATATTAAAATCTAATAGATTAGGGAAAATAAGATAAATGAAATCCTCAGTATAAATAAAAACCAAAATTAAGCTAGATATTACGTAAATAAATTTTCTGATTTTAAACCATTTAAATGGTTCAATTCATTTAGAAGTTGTTGTCATTCATCTAAATAATCAATTAATTATCACACAATTTCATATTACAAATAAAAAACTAAGCAATCGACTGCAGATGCAGAAAACTATATGCAATATTAATGAATAACAAAACACTAAGCAGATAATGATAAGAGAAAGAAGTAAAAGACCACTGTTAATCAATAATTCTTTAGGTATATCACTAGTTCTTAATTATTAGATTTTATTACTTAATGATCAAAAAGTCAGGAGTAACTTTTTAATAATATTTCATGCATGTTTAAATGTATAATAAATAAATAATACATACATCTTCATCAGTAAATCTATCTCCCATAGTAACTAAAAGTTCTCTCAGACGTTCTTCATTGATTACGCCTTCGTTATTTTCGTCAAAACAACCAAAGGCGTTTTTTATTACATCTTCAGGATCTGTACCTTGAAGTCTTTCTCCAAATAATGTTAGAAACATAGTGAAATTAATTGGGCCAGGAGCATCATTCATCATACCTTCTAAATAATCATCAGTCGGATCTTTGCCTAAACAATTATCAATATTCATAATTTGTTTTTAATTTTGCTTAATATTTAAAATAAGAATAATTAATATACCTAAAGAAGCTAGCATATCATGCAAATCTTCTTTATCGATGAATCCGTCACGATTTTGATCTATCAAATTAAATGCTTCCTTAAACTCTTGTATTTGTGCTTGCCCAAACATGGCAAACACATTTGACGTAGCGCGCTGCGCTCGTTTCTTTGTGGTTGCCCTCCTCACTGCCGTTTTCCGTGACATGCTTGATTCGCTCTACAAAAATGATAAATCTTAAAATTAATATAAACTCAAGAAAATTATGTTAACTGAAGTTACTGAATTCATCACTTGTTCCAGTATAAAAAATAATTTAATTTTACACGATATTATAATTTAAAGTTCCACCATTCTTAATTATTTATACTTGTTTAGTAAGTTAACATTTCATTATTTCCACAATTTTACTCAAATACATTGACTTACTAATCAAATGAGTCATAAATAGGTATTCCAGATAAAAAATATGAATGATTCATGGGTACTATTATATAAAACTATTAGAAAATATGTAAGAAATTTATTTTATTTTTTATGTATAAATTCTGCTTATGCAGTTTATGGTCATCAGTCATCACTAAATAGCAACAATTCATTTTGACTTTTTTAACGATCATTACATGATATAAAAACTTTACTATAAAAGGATTTAGATACCCAATAGTCATACTTTATTGGGTTCCCACTTTGTTTGCACTAGATTAGAAACTCAAGGATATAAATTAAATTGCATAAAAAATATATTTATTTCTACATACCTATATTTATGAACAATTTGCTAAAAAAAAAGAAATAGAATATTTTTAACAATTTATAAGTATTTATTATTGATCAAAAATATCTAACTAGTTATTAATTCTTATTTCAATCATTTCAATAGAGCCAAAAAAAATTATTATTAAATAAAAATAAATAATAATATAACAAAAGAATGTTTAAAACGTATTGTTTTTTACTAATAATATGATAAATAATTAAAACTTGAGCAATGAGCATACATATTATTAAATTCTTGTTTCTTTAGAAATTTTTTAAAACGTTTAAAACATCAACACTGTAATAAAAAAAAATAAATATTTTGACGATGCCTACAACTAATAATCAGTAAAACAGAATGTAGTTAAACAATAAACATGAAAGAAATGTCAAAATGGTTATTTGTTAAAAAGTTTAATCCATTACAACATTAAATTATTATCATCTTAAAGATATTTAACAATTTCTATAATTATTATAGTTCAGATAAGTATTAGGAAGTAGGTAAGTATGTTAGAATAAATGGAAATTTCAAGGACGAAACGCGTTTAAATAGTTTGAGTTGTCACATACGACACTACGACATGTAGTCTTAGTCTCTTAAAACTGACAGAAGACTCGAAACCATTCGAAACAATGAACAATTAAACGATATTGTAAAATTATAATAAAACAGTTATATAGGCCAATAATAAAAAATAAAAAATGGTTCAACTATCACGCGTAGGTAGTTATTACACATAGCTTAGAAGTGTTGTCGCGCGGCATACTTACAATTTTGAAGTCTAAAAAGAAACGGATTGAAGGAAAAAATGGTTTTTCGTCGGGCGGTTGGTCGGCAAGGGACACGTCTTAGCAAGGTTCAAGTCGTTAGACGTACGGAATGCGAATGAGTCGGTGGTGCGACGGCTGTGGTACAAGGGAATGGACACGGCGACGACGATGAGTCACGGTATAGACAAGCGGGTAGTGGTCGGTTTCTCGTCATAAATGATATTATTGTTTTTTACACACACTTCGGTGACGATGCGATAAGAGGACATAACGTTATCGCATGCGGAGGAGACCGATTAAGGCCGACCGAGGCCGACTACACCACTGGTCGGTTTCACTCCTAATGTGGACGCACTGAATAGTGAATTCATTATTTTTTTTTTTTTCGATTTCCGTCGTTTCGCTGATATTCTCATTACTCGGCCTCTCTAGCATTTGCTATTTACTATTTATTATATTATTATTCTATGTAATCCATAGACCTTTGTCATATCATATTTATTTCGTAAATTTCGTTTAATTTGCTCATTGTTAGTCCAAATAAGGCACCACACGTGCGATGAATTGATCGGTGTTTGGCTACTTTGCTGTGTCTTTCATATGCCAGTAGCGGTGCACTATCAAGTGAACGACACACGACCACGAGAATTACCTACAGACGATAATTTGGTGCGTGTTTGGATTTGGACGTAGACGATCACTCAGGGAGGTTCGCCATGATAACGGTAAGTAAAATTCTATAATCCGTCTATCGGTCTATCTAAAAATGAATACTTAATGCTGCTTGGGCGGGGAAATCAACTCACGTGGATAAAATCATACAAAAAATCTCGTGCGGCGTTCCTGCCGGTACACACGATTAACGTGTATTTTACCTTATATGGAAACGGTGTAGTGAAAGTTCGTAACGGGTCATAAATGATACTTTATATGGTCATGTTTCGATACTTAATACCGCGTACGGCTCCAACGCCGCCGGGTCCACTTGTACCACCACCACTGTCCTCCACACCGTCCCTCGTTTCGTAACCGAGACATTTCTGGAGCCCGGTATTATTGATTTTTTTTTCGTCGTGGAGTCCAAATAGTGTAGTGTAGTGTAACATTGACCTTGACCCTCCCGACTCCCACAATCAAAAGCTGCTGTTGTCTAACTCTTCCCCTAGAATTAGTAATACTAATATTCTTAACCTAGGTACACCAATACTCCTAATGTTGTATACAAGACTACATTTTACCTTCAAATAAGTTATTATGAATAGATTTTAATTAAAAACAATTTAATAAACATAGAAATTTTCATAAAATTAAAAATTAAAAAAAAAAAAAATTAATTTACCTATCTATCTATTATTTTACTCCTATTTTTTAATGAGTATATGATAAAATATATAGTCAAATTAGCATAGTTATTTATTTATTTATTTATTTTGTTAATGTTGATTTGTTTTCAAATAGGTAGTTATTGAGATATTATAATTTATTGTTAAAGTCTCATTTAACACTAATAAAGTAGGTATAGTCAATTAAGTTAATAATTTTATATAAAAACCATAGAGGTACCCATTGCTTATTAAAAAATACATTAAATACTGCCTATCTTTCTATTTGTGGTATCAAAACAAAATAACAATATCTCTTATTATTTTGTTTTTAAAAAACAATACGTGTTTAAATTCAATACCAAAATATAACATTGTTTAGCTTAATTCTCATTTAATAAGTATTTTTGAGTATTTTTATACCTACATAATAGTTAATATAAGTGTTATCAAATGTTTTAAACATATTTTGATAAAGAATAGTTTTGTTGCTTATTATACTACAATTATAAACTTGTAAGTCTTGTGATTTTTTTCATTTTTATTAAACTATCCACATTCATTTTGTATTTCAATAGAATACTTGTCTTATCTAAAACAACATTTTATATTTCTCGACTAAAGGTACCTAATATAAGAAGTCTGCAATTTCTTATTTAATCCTTCTACCTACGTCAAAAATCAGTTAAAATAAAACTAATACCTAATAATATTACGTATTAAATAATATAGTTTATAATAATTATACTTATGTTTTGGGATGCACTAGCTAGATTGTTATTGATCACTAAAAATGTTAAAATTCTAAAAATAGATGAAAATGTGGTCAATTTTTAATGGTATGGACTCATCAGTCTAGAACTCAAGTAAAAAATACTTTAGTCTCTCACACCTCTTATTTTTTTGCAAAAATTTACACTTATAGCTCTAACAAATTATAATCTTGCATTTTTTCAAATCATCTAATTGGTGCTTTATTCTTTTCAAATCTTTCTTACCAAAAGTTAAAATAATATATCTCTGTATTAATATATTTTACTAATCAAATTACCAAATGGATATCTCTTATAACACATTAGGTATATAATATTTATAATTTATGTCCATAAAATTAAATAAATTCTTAATCACTTAATTGAGTATTAATTAAAAATATTATATTGACATTTTCAATTTATATTCCTATTATACAATATTTTTATTTTATAATTTATCATTTCAATTAATGTTGTTATTAATTTATTTACTTATTTTATACGATAATGTCATACAAGTTAACATTACAAATTCATTTAGTGAAATGAATAAGTGGTGCTAAAAGTGAATGTGATATTATGTAATGTCTTCTCAAGAAATATAAAATATTGTACATTATGAGTATGAGTACTTTATACTTATTTATTTAACTTATTCACTAGTACATTTACATTGTAACTGCCATCTGAATATCTCTTAATTGTTAAATGTTGGATTTCTTACTACCATAATTAAAATAGATAAGTAATTTTTCCTAAATTTAAATTAGTTAAAATATAAATACCAATAATTCTTCTGAATGAAATAGATTTTTTTAATTTTATAAATTAATTTAGTATCAAAGTGATAAGAAAGTTTCAATTAAACTAATTACTTGACTAATATTTCATGTTAAACACTCAAAATCCTTGAAGTTTGAATTTGTTTTATATAAAAAACTTGCATTAAGAAGCAAAAGCAAATGTGTTGAAATCACATTTATAATTTTTTAATTTGATAAAGAGTAGTCTGTTTAAACAATAAAGAAAATAAACTATTGTGAGTCCTTGAGCCTAATATAATACTAGTCAACAACTAAATATTCTAAATATGGATTCATAATCGACCTTTTTTTTTTTTGAAACATTTTTGTATTCATTACCGAAAGCAGAATATTTTTTTCAAAATTTTAATGTTTAAATATTTAAAAAAATTGTTATTTTATTCATAAATTGGTATTTCAACTTTAAATAAGTACTTATACCAATTAATTTTTTTTACTTATTATATAATTATAGAAAGAAGAAAATTAATATAGATTTATTAACTGTAAAAATAATATTATTTATGATGTTATCATGTTATTTTATCTGTTAAATTCACGTACACTTTTCACGTGTTTTGTTTTTTGAAATAAGTACCAAGTAATAACTTACTAATTTCCTTTAACCAACACATAGTACATATTATGGTTCAATTTTATTGCAGTAAATAAGTAAAGCATTGTTAAAAAAAAAGTTTTCACAAAAAAAAATATAATTGTACAATGTATTGAACAATCCTCTATAGTTTTTGAACTCTGTCATCTTTTTTATACATGTATTAAGTGCACTTAACTAACAATTTCTCTTCTTGCTCCTAAATGTTGATAAGATTATGAAAGTTTTTAAAAAATGGCGGTCTTTCAATTTTTTTTTTTTTTAACATTTCTGTACTAATAATTTATATATTCTGGACTTAATTTATTCTTGAATATTTACTATTTACAGTTCTATGTTCTATTTTTATTTTTATCATTAACAGATTTAATGATGCATTTAACATTTCTATAAATTCATTAAATTTAATGTTAAGTAATTGTGTTTCATTATTGATATCTTTAAACACTTAGGATAAAAAAAAAAAAGTTAACTATTGTTTTAATTTTAATTTTTATATATATCAATTTTAATAATTTAATGCAATTACATAAGAATAACAACCTCATTCAAATTATTTTCTTTATTGTACATTAAAATACTCAACTTGGTAGGTAAATACCTACCTACTATTCATTATAATACACTTCTGATAAATATTTAAGTTTTATTTTATTCCATTAACCATAATGATGATGTACATGTAGTTATAATTGAAATTTAAACCATACAAAAATTTATCACAAGACTACAAAAAATACTTCATTTACTTATATTATATAACTTATTTAAACAACTCACAGCTCACTTTTTTTTACAAATTAAATAATAATTACATATTTTTATAAACAATATAATTTAAGTTTATTCATATTATATTTGATCAACTTATACATAGGTACAAAAACGACCCGAGTTCTTATATTCTCCATTTTTTTTTAATGTATTACACATATTTTGCTGTTTTAATAGTATTACTAACTTTGTACATTAAATATGAATTTATATTTACAATAATAAAAAATATTACAATTGATTTGGAACATTATCGAATAGCTACACCATTAATTGTTACAGTGGCCCCAGAATGGTCTGATTTTGCTTTAGACACCGGTGATGGTTCATAGTAACTATTTGGTTCATCATACGTGTAGTCTGTTACTGAATCATAAATATGATTCTGTACGTCATTTAATGAAGCGTATGACATGACTGCTGTATTCTGTTCTTCTTTTCTTACTGCTCCTTCGACATTTTCTGTATTTTTTACTGGAGTCGGCCGTTTTCTAATAAAAACAATAATACACAATGGTTTTAAATGATATATTTAACTTGTTAATTTTAAAACACTCACAGTCTTAAATAAATTAACGCAAGGAGTATGACTAGGAATAAAACAATGCCGCCTCCAACAGTAACAGCTAGACCTAAGGTTCTGGTGTCACTTATAGCTGCACTTATCGCTACAAAGGAAAAATTATATTATTACTTTATGTTATGCGAGCATAAGTTAGTGTTAACTTACGTTGGCAATATGGTTGTTCTCCTGACCACTGAGCATCGTCCAAACATTTTCTCATGTAAGGACCTATTCTTTGGAAATGAGGTATACAGTGGTATTCTGCAGCGCTGTTGTATGTCGTGGTATCATTCATTATTATTACTCTACCATTTTCAATTGGACCTGGATGCTTACAGTCAACCACTGAATTTCAAAAATAATATAGTTATTATCAAGAAATAAATCGTTTTTATAATTATTATTTACTTTGACACGTTGGTGGTCTCCCGCTCCACGATCCTTTTGGCAAACAGTGTCTCGTAGTGTTATCTATTGTGAAATATCCTCTTGGACACGTGTATTCCGCTATCCCACCCACAGTTCTCGACGCTACCCTGACCGTTAGACTATTTTCGCTCTTGAGCTCGTCACAATTTATTTCTTCAAATGCGATCGAAATGTATAAGTTTAATTTGGCGTCCCAGATTTGATTTATATTATAATTTATATCTTACCTTGACATTTAGGCGTTTCCGAACTCCACGTACCGTTTTCAAGACATAGTCTTCTGCCGTGTCCATCGAGTTGAAAGTGATCATCGCACTCATACAACACCGCTGAACCGTAATACGTAACGTTGGACACTAAATTGAATTTTCCGTTGTCGATACTCTCGGGAGTTCCACAGTCAACGTCTAAAAAAAAAATTGAATTTAAAATCTTTACTTAATACCTTTATAAATCTATTATTATTTATAAATTATTAGTGTTAATAATAATATTTAAAACTTACAAACGCATTGCGGTATTACACCTGTCCACGAACCAGTGTCGTCACAATTGCTTATCGGTTCACCGACGACTTTGTATCCTCGTTCACAGCGGTATTTGACTAGAGCACCAATCTTGTACGTAGATGTAGATACAGCATCAGACGAAGTCCTTATTAAAGTTCGTCCGTATAAACGATCGTTACCCGTTACCGATAGTACACTGTGTTCTGGTAAAATTGGTTCCGGACATCTTATTTCTTAAAAAACAAAAAAGTAAATTTTAAACTAAACTCATCGTTGTTTTAACTGCTATATCCATGTTTAGTGTTTCCCCTCAACTTCTTCGACAAAATAATTATTGTAGTGGGTCTGTGTTACCTTCGCATTTGGGTGCAGTCCCACTCCACGCTTGATTTTCAAGACAACGTCTTATCGCTGTTCCGGTCAATCTATAGTTGTTGCTGCAACTATATTTTACCTCACTGTCGAGATGTGTGGAGTCGTTAGAATAGTGTAATGTACCATAAATTGGTGGTGTGAGTTTACCACAGTCAATATCTGTGTACAAAAATAATACAGATATTTTATTATAATTATTAAAACATATTTAAGTGTTTAAATGTGTGTCACGGATAATACGCTTAGTATTCTTAATCCATATTAATGCAATGACTATCGGTTAATAAAATTCATCATTTATTGGTAACCATCGATTAATAAAATCAAACCACTCAAACCTTGACATGTACCACCATAATCACTAATTGCATTAAACGAAACTCGCTGTTGTTAATATTATTAGGGCAAGATTTCGCGCATATGACATATATATGAATAAAGTTTTAACTCACATTGACATTCCGGCGGTGTTGTACTCCATTCGCCGTTGTTATTACACTGCAATGTGGTTGTGCCGATCAATTTATGACCGGGGTCGCAATGGTATTCGATGCTTGAATGAATATTGAAATCGTAACCAACTACGTAACCTCCGGTAGGCACTTCTGGCTCTTGACATGTGATCACTATCGAACCAGAAAGATCGCAAACGATTTTTTTTTTAATTATTAATTTTTATAACCAAAATGACTTGGCAATCAAGGTATTATATAATATTTTTACTCACGTTGACATGTGGGTGGGTCAGCGGACCATTTTGCTTCTTTGGTACAAATTTGTCGGCGGCTGGTGTGGGGCTGGAGCCAGTAGTCTTGTTCGCACGTGTACTCTACAATACTACCGTGCGTTGTGGTACCATTTATTAGCGAAGCTTGTCCGTTTTCTATGATTTGCGGTGGTCCACAGTCCACAAATCGACACACTAACGGTTTGCCGGACCATTCACCTCCTAGTCCGCATTTCAACTCCTGCATAAATAAATAAATACATCGTAAAATCTCAGTAAAAAACGGTATGAAATATTACACATAAGACACTACACTGACCTGCTGTCCGCCAACGGCTACGAATCCCTGATGGCAAGAATAGACGGCAATAGATCCAGCTTTACGACCCGTAACGGTGACAGTGGCTCCTTGCACTTCGGGTGGTTCTCCGCACCAGTCGACTGTAGTAAATAATTGAAATATTAGACAAAATATAGTCAACTAAGATTGTGTACATTTATTTAAATAGCTTAAGATTATTTTATCTTTTATAAAAATTTATATAATAGGTACCAACCATATTCTAAAAACTCAGACGATATTATACAAAATATCTTAATAATTGAATTCGATTTAAAAATAAAGTTTAGTTAATTGATAAAAAAAATTACTTTAAATAAATAAATCAAAATCATTCTAATTATAACTTGCTACTAACGCCCAATCTTGCAACGTCGCCCATCATATATAATTATTTATACATACATAGACATTGTGGAGTGCGCCCGCTCCATTTTCCGTCTTCAGTACATGTCCTTTTGGCATCACCATTTGATAGACTGTAATTTTGGTTGCAAGTATATCTAGCGGTGGACTTGAATGTTGTCTTTCCGTTGTCTTCCAGTGTTATAGTGCCGTTCTCTATACCGTTCAATGGTCCACAATCGACGTCTATACATATGTATACCGTTGTTAAATTTTGATATAGAATGGTTATATTTCCATCAGAAATTTTAGATATTTTAGACAATGTGTCTCTACCATACTTACATTTACATGATGGCGCTGACCCGGTCCAGAACCCGTTAGAGCCGCACGTCCTCTTAGCCGAACCCTGCGTGGAGTGTCCTTCCGGACAGACGTACTCAATCACCGACGATACCTTAAACGTATACGGACTCATGATTGTACTGTTTACCTTGATGTCGGGACTCCCACAGGTTGTCGGTGCTGCAAGTAAAAATGCGTGAAATTAATTTTTAAAAACTGTCAGTATGATAGATCTTTTTACGGATTGGATTAAGTTACGCGTTGTATGGACACACTCACTATATTGACAAATCCAATGTAAATAATCCAAATTGCATCCCACGTCATTCCATAGCCATTCACGGCCTCCGTCGAGCACTACGCAATTCTGTTCACCATTATAGTTATTTGGTTGATCTTTTCCCCACGTGGGTTTCGTTATCACGTCACCTGCAAGAAGTAAATCGATAAAGTATAATATTATTGGTATATATACGTTCCATTCTCCGCCGTGATCACAATAAAATTCATATTATAATATATAACATGCATATTCTTACCGTTGACCCATTTCCACGTTCTTGACGTAAGACCCGGTTCTTTTTGCGCTCCAATCCAGATTAACTGGGTCTTGAGTCGGGATTTCCGTCGCTCGAGTTCTGCGGCTAGAAACGTGGACGCTGATCCCCGAAATCCATACACGATATCACCGCCAGTCGCCTGACATTTTTGTCTGGCCTCAGCGAAAGACGCACCCCGATTTACGTTAAACTCATAACACTTATTGTCAAAAACGGCCACGTCTGTTTGCGCTGACGAACTACCCGGCGCGCAGCGATCGATAGAAAATTCTATTAACAGGTTCAACGCCACAATAAAATACAATTTTTCTTAAAAAAAATCTGGTATAGCATGAGGTAGTGTTCATAAGTTATATTTTCAATTTACCCTTCATTAAGTTAATATATCCTTAAACTAACCTTCGGTAGAATAGACTTCGACTTCACACAAAGACAGCGATCCTTCAACGCCCACTAATTGCAGAAATACATACTGTCCGATGATCTGTCGCGCACAACTGAGGATTTTCGTTGTGCCTTCCTCTGCAAAAGTTGTATAATTAGATCGACCGTCGTAACAGTTGGGTAAGTAAGTTTTGTTAGTTGTAGAGTTCAGAAAAACTTACCGATCGTTCCTGGAAACCAAGAACAAAGTGGGTTCCTCTGCAATTCCGCACTACTATTCCCAACCCTGATCTCTATGTCCTGCAAAGGCTGATGACCTGTATAGACAGTATATACATTTCTTAGTCAAATTTTTAAATAAATATAATGATTATAATTTATCAATATATCCGATAACAGATAAATGCTATATATTATACTAAATTTTTAATCGCTGTCGATTATCCGTTTTTAAGTAAAAATGTCGTTGGTTATGGACTGAGTTAGGGAAGAGGTGAATAATTATGAATTTCGAGGCTGAAGAAAAAATAAAAATACGAGTAAGTACTCAACTTTATTGGTTTAAAAGAAACTATACATTACTTATATATTTTTTTCAAGAATTATTGTTAGTATCAAGGTTCAATGTATTAGGTTAGTCCACTGTGTGTATTTTTTCCCATTATATAATTATTATATTATTATGATGTAGTGTACAAAGTGCATATGAAAAAAATAATTAAATTGGGTGTGGCGTGCAAATGATCCACATAGTCATGTTCCTCTACTACACTGCAGTCTAGTGAAGGGCAAATATGTCCTTCGCTAGTTATATTCTGCAAGTTAGAAGAGCGAACAAAAACATTTAACCGTGTGAGTTGTATAAAAAAAAGGTCGTGGGCGATACAGCAGCAGCACGACGGTGTCAGGTTCATTATCATCATCACTCGAAACTAGTTTCTGTATAAAAATATGAGGTACCATTTCAACGTCCCAATAATTATATACACAGCAGTCTCCTACACAGATTTATTTATTTTTATTGTTATTAAATGTTATTTATTATTCTTTTGATAACGTCACACGTCGCATTCGTCTAACAACTATGTACACTACGTAGGTAACGACTACAACCTTCCGGCGCGCGCGGTCAAAAGATCGTATCTACGTTGTTTCGGATTTAAACCACAATTAGGTCTTAAATACGCGTCGTCGAAACTCGTACTCGGGTCCTTGGGTTTTTAACATGTGTATAGATCGAAATCGGCTAACAATTTTTGTTTATCGTGTCAATCGAATTTTGCAATTGAACGAAAATAACACAAATATAATACGTGTATTGTAAACGACACTAACAATAGTATACGATTATAATAATAATGAATTTGCGTGTGTTTTAAATTATTTTCACTATGTGTTCGCAGACCGAAGTCTCGAAGACCGCCATCAGCGCCGCAGCGGCCGGCATCGCGGGCCTGTGCTTCGTTGGCTACTGCATTTACTTCGACCGAAAGCGCCGCAGCGACCCTAACTTCAAGTCGAACCTACGCAAGAAACGGCTGCTGGCCAAGGAACACGAGCTCGCAGCGCGGGCCGCTAAGTCGGCGTTCCCGGACTTCACGGACCAGCAGGCTGTGCAGCGTTTCTTCCTGCAGGAGGTGCAGATGGGTGAGTCGTACTTGGAACAAGGTGACGCGGTCCGAGGTGTCGAGCACTTGGCCAACGCGGTAGTGGTGTGTGGCCAGCCCACCGAGCTGCTCAACGTTCTGCAGCGCACGTTGCCCGACCCTGTGTTCGAAATGCTCATCAAGAAGCTGCCAGAATTGGGCAAGAACCTGATGCGCCGGCAACCGTCGCAGCAACAGCCACAACAACCGACACCATCGTCTTTTGGTGGCCCGGTCATTAGCGAGCTGGACGTGTCTGACGTCGAATAGTGTTTTTTTTTTTTTTTTGTCGATTATTAATATGTCATTTCGTCGTTACGATGATAATATAATAATGTTATTATGTTGTAATGCGCGTATGCAGTGTATAATAATATATCGTATAGAGACGCCACCACCATACTGCCTAACCATCACAAATTCTACCCTGCGCGTTTTCGTGTAATATTGAAATTTGATTATTTTTTTTATTCAATAATAAATTTATTAGATACAAAAAAAATATAGACTGTCGCTATTGTAAAGATATTTTATTTATGTGTGACGACGACTGTGCATCGGTATTATAAACGATAAATAATAATAGTAATAATAATAATAATGTAAGTTTTTTTAGACTGACAACAATTGGTTGTTTGTCGTAAGTAGTTTCACCGCCGACCACAGTTATTCGCTGTGTTCGGAGGCGATAACGGTAGCAGTTTAAGCACTATTTTAGAGTGACTGTTTTTGGATAATCGTATTTTTATTATTCGTTACGTACAAATTAAAATAATGTATAAAATCTTACGTTGTTGTTTACTAATTTACTAACCCTGAAATTATCATTATGTATACACGATGTCCCGTTACAAACATATTATATCAAATATAAATATTCACGAAAAACAGCGTCTTATTGTCGTTATTACACTGTTGTAATGTTATTATTATTTTTTTATTACGATACGTGGCTAACCTAGAAGATAAAATGTTTGCCGTATTTATAGGTAAAAAAAATTAATAAAAATATATTATAGTTACAGCCCGTGTACGGGATAGATAGTATAGATGTGAAATGAATTCGGGCGGTTATTTTTTTATTAGATTCGCTCGTCCACGAGCTGTTGTTTATATTTTGATTGAAACATATAAAAAGCAATAATGATATTATATTATACGCCATTTTTTTGTAATTTAAATAAAAGTTTACATGAAATCACACTGTTTTTTTGTTTGTTAAGTAATCTTGTCCGATGAATTATTTACTAAAAGTATAAATTATTCGTTGGATTATACAGAAAATGGTTTATTTCAAACTTAGAGGTACAAAAGTTTGGTACCTAACTGGTAAGTATCGAAAATAACGCCCAAATATAATATATTATAGGAGCTGATCATTTCATGAAATAATTCAATCTTTATTATCCGATCATTACAGTTATCTGTTTAAATGAACTTAAAATGTTTATTGATAGAAATCCTGTATCTATTATACTATGTTTTGATCTAGTGTATTAATTTATAAAATAACATTTACGAAAGTTCTACAAACATTTTATAAACGATAAGTAATATTATTTTAGTTTATTAATCTTAATACATCTAATCAAAACTTAATATCTCAATAAATGCAACATAATAAAATACACTTTAAATCTCAAAAATTCTCTATGAATTAAGTATAGAATGTACTGTTAGAATAATTAAAAAATATATTGAGTGTAAAATATTTAGAAAAACAAAAAATAAATAAAAGTAATTCATTAAATGCATATGAAAAGTTTCAATTCACATAAATTATTTTAAATATCAAAAAGAGTAATAAAAAATGACTTAATAAATCAAAATTGTATTTATTTAGTAGGTACATGATTGAAACTGTGTTAAAGAAACTATGTTCCCTACCTAATAAACTAAAAATAATGTAATTGCTTACAGCTTTATAATATTAATAATATACGTAGGTATGAAGTAAGTATTTGTAAATTTAATAAAAAAATATAATAATTGTAAATGCCAATTGCGCAGCTCTTATTGTTACTTGCAGTTAAAATTTTAAAAATACACTTAAAACCTTAAATGGGGTTAATAATTTCCCAAAATTTTTTTTTACTTCATCTCGTACATGATAAAAATTATATATAGTTACCACAACATCCCCTGGTCGTGATGGACACCGCTCGAACTGGATATGGTTGCAACAGGTCTACCGACCACCACGGCGACGGTTCTTTGAGCGTTTCCGTACACCTTCGGCCGTCGTGTACCGTCGTCGGGTCACCGTCGTTGGCGTTTCCAGAATTTCCACCCCTAGCCGTCGTCGACTGATTAGTTGGTTTGTGCACAGCTACGTTTGTTCCTGTGTAATCCAAAACAGACGTGTTATTTTAATATACATAATAATTAATAAATGATAATTACATGTTGGACTATGTATAAATATCAACGATTTTTTTAATAAGATTCATTTTTAAATTATTATGTTACATTAAAAATCGATCAAGTCTTTATTATATTACTATAATTTAATATTGGTAAAAAACATTTGAATTGTCACTGTTTTCATGGTTTTCAATAATTTTGAAATAGCCATTAATTTATACAGACATAATGTATTCTCGATTATATGCAGAATAGGGTGGCTTGGCATCTGTGGATAATCCACAAAATTCAGTAATTACGTAGGTATATAAAGGTGTATTATTAAAAAATTAAATCTTGTAATTTTGAATATCATTTAAGAAAAATTAAATTAGAACATGTTTTATTTTTATTTAAACATTCATATAATACTACGAAAATATTTTAAATTATTTACATTCAAAAATATTAGTTTACAAGTTGTTTTTTTTGATTAATCAAAGTTATCTTAATCTATGGATCTTCTTATTCCATATGATAAATATCATCCGGGCCTACTTATTACTTTTCCAATATCCATAATTGAGCCGATTGAGTACAATTTATGCATGAATATTTTTTTTTAATTGTAACTATACAGATATAACGTTTAGCTTAACATCGATAAATTGGAATAAACTAATGGTCTTGGTATAAATGAAGCTGTCGATATATTTGTACCTAAAATAATTAAACGTCAGTCTACTTACTCTTTGTGGTATAGTAAAAATTTAAAAGAATCAATTTAAAAAAAAAATAAATTGTATAAAAATTCTGGTTTGGTGAATAATTATAATATTTTATCAAATCTACGAGCGAAATGTAAATTTCTTTCGGAAAAAAATTACCAAAATTATATTAATAAAATTGAAAAAAATGATATTGTCAATGCTTTTGCTAATTACTTCTCTAGTGTTTATGAAAATTACGATTATGTCTATGTCAATTTTAAACCTCAAACTCCGCCCAAAATTCTTCTTCTTCACTCCACTCTACTTTCATTGACTTCACTGAGGTATTTGAGTCACTTAGCTGCTTTCGTACTTATCACTTTTTATCGGTTTTTTTCCTAATACTTGGAAATCTAGCTTTATTCGGTCAATTCCTAAGTCTTCCTCTAATAGATCCAATATTTCAACTTACCGACCAATAACTTTGCTTTGTCATATACTTAAAATATTTGAATCGATAGTTGCGAATAAAGTTTTATCGGGTTTAAATAATTTTATCATAAATGATCAACATGATTTTCGAAGAAATAAAAATACAATTACAAATCTAATTAACTTTTAACATTTTGTATCTGATGCCCTTTCCCGGAGCTCAAGCCTCAAGCGTAAATGTCGTCATATTTACTGACTTCGCTAATGCTTTTGATAAAACTAATCATCAAATATTATTTATAAAATTAAAAAGAATGGTATTTGTGGTACCTACTCTTTTATCTTGGATTATTTCTTTTATTGAAAATCGTATGCAAATTGTAGCTTACTTAGACATTTGGTTTATTCCAATACGTGTCACATCGAGGGTTCCTCAAGATTCCTATTTAGCACTAATATTATTTTTTATATTTATTTATGACATTCAGCTCCAAAATTGCGCTAAATTAATGTTTGTTAATGACCTCAAATAATTCCGTATAGTTAACAATCAAGTTAAAGCCAATTTACTACAGTCTGATTTAAATATTCTCTATGAATGGTGCTTAAAGAATAATTTTACTCTTAATATTAGTAAATGTCAGATAATGAATTTTTCCAGAGCTAGAGTAGCCTCGACATTTGAGTATAATATAAATGGTGAATCACTCCATCGTTCTGTGGGGCCTTCTAAAGACCTCGGTATATTTTTCAATCTTAAACTAAAATTTGACTGTCATATTAACAGCAATTTTTAACAAATAAAATTAAATCTTGGGTTTTATCCGTCGAATTTGTACTGACTTTAAAGTCCATATATTGCTATCTTGTACGTTCTTTTTGTAAATATAGCTCGGTAATTTGGCCTCCTTAGTCCTTATACGCCTGTTCATTAATATAAAATTGAAAAATCCAACAAAAATTCTTACGTTTCTTTTTTTTTAAATGTTCCATATACAGAGAACCTCATTCCGCATATACCCCACTTTTAACGTTTCTATCCCTCAAAACTCTTAAACAACGCCGTTTACGTTTAGATATATATTTTGTGTATAAGCTCTTCGCAGGTAATTTTGATTGTCCCTGTTTTCTTAAGCTGTTTCTCTGTCCACACTCCTACTCGTAATACCAGGTTTAAAAAAAACATTTTATTTAAACACAGAATTAACTAATTATGCAAGCAACACCCCCCCTCCCCACGACAGAATTATGAAAACCATAAATGAACGAAAAATAGATTTGTTTATATCAATAAACTTTAACTTATTCAAAATATATTGTGATTCCACACTTTGTAACACATGGCTATTAGTATTATAATTGTTATATTTGTTTTTTTAATTAATTTTTCCTTTTATTTGTAAATTAACGATCGTTATATTTCTAATGTAATTGGACCTGGCCCGTTTAAAATTTAAATAAATAAATAAAACACTTTTTAACTTGTGATCAAAGTTTTTTTTTATGTTGACTTCACGGAAAATTACGGATAATCCATTCACGAATAATTGAGAGTACGTACATTGTATTTTAAAGGTCGCATTTAACTTCGGTAAATTAAAAATTTTATTTTTACTTAAAAGGCAAAACGTTAAGAAAACACTGCATATTATTATACATAACTTGACGATGGTCGAACATTTCATAAATTTCATTCGTCAGTTAGAACTCTTCAGCGTCTACAAACGGTTACGAAATACAAAGAAACAAAATATCGACCTAGTTAAGTATGTAACTGTACAGTCGATATTATATCGTGATTATGTAAACAATTTACAATTATAACTATTGTTTACTGGGGGCTTTACAATTAAAACGTAATAATTTATACTTCTCACGAGATGTAATTGTTATTATAAATTAAAACGTTTGTTTTATCTGTGCACTAAGAGTATAGACTATTAAACAAATAATATTTAACTGTTCGGTACATTTATTCATAGTAAAAAAAAAAAAAAAAAAATGAATATGGTGTAGTTTAGATATTATTGTTGCCTGTTGGTTGTTATTTAGGTAGTTAAATAATAATTACCTATTTTTGTAGAAACCTGATAAGTCACTGTACATTGATCACGAGGAGAAAAAATAAATAAACATTTAACTTTGCAATATACATTTTTTTTCTGGGATTACATTTTAGAATGTTTTTTGGTTATTTTTAGTCCCTCTAAATTAGGTGTAAATTGAATTATATTGTGTAATGACTAATGAATAATAATAATAATTTTTACAAGCATCAGGATTAATGTTTTGTATGACGATGAA